GGGGGGGTGGAGAGAGCCGAAGGATAGGAAGAGGGTCTATGCAACGCTGACGTCTGGAAATGGCGCAGTTATTGACCCTCCAGAGTGGTTACCTGCACGAGACCTGCCTGCAGAGGATGAGGCCAAGCAACTATCCTCGTGGGTGGGGAAAGAGCTCACGAGTTCACTCCTCCCTCGGGAACTACAGCCAAATGACAGCTGAGGAAAACGAGTACTTTCTTCAGTGGCACCCAAACTCTCAGAAGTTAACCCCAATCCAGCCAGACATGAAAAGTGGGGGGAGGCCTGTTCTGAAAGGGCTCAGCAGGAGTGTGCAGAGATGAGAAATGGAATAGTGCCAATGGCAAAAATGACCCAAATCCACTGTATACGAGTACCAAACCATCAAAGAGTAAACGACTTTAAAGTCTCCAAACTACTGACTGTACCTGGGCTCTCACACACCCCTTAAACTTCTTAAAAAATTATCAGCTACATCTACCTCTTAAATGTATAAAGGTAGCCACAGAAATTTTTAAAAGACATTGCAAATAATTTATGTGTTGAAATACAGCCTTCTATAACCCATTAAGATATATTCAATGAAACCTAAACAGTGTGTTTAAAGACCCATTCTCAACCATTGAAAATCCTTGAGAGCGCAGCAGCTCGCACAGCAATTGTCAGGAGCCCACGATGCTGCCCCAGGGCGCCTCTGCTCCATGGCCTGCCCTAACAGAAAAGGCTAACTTTTTCATTCTTCTCTTTATCTCTTTACAGATACTGGCCAAACACAAGCAAGCTTTCCCTGGCATCTGGGAGTTTTCATTCTTCCTCTGAAGGCCTGTTCTTTTCTTGTGCCTCACTGTGGCTATCTGGCCGCCACTGCAAAAAGCATGGAGCTTTCTCTTACTGATCCTTCTCCTGGTAGCTGCAGATTTACAGCTGGTCTGATCTGTTGCTTTTCTCTCAAAAAAATCATAAAAATGTCCTTGATCTTCAAAATAAAGAAATAAACAAATAAAAATGCTTTAGCTTTCCTAACAGCAGGAAACTTGTCATTGTTCTTTCTTTCTCTTTGATTTTTTTCCCCTTCTGGCCAGGAGGAGCTTGAAAACAGCCTCAGATC